CTGCTTCCCTTTTTAGGTTCATATTCATCTCTTCCATATTTGTATCTGAATGGCCATGCACAGATCGCCCATGAATGTAGTACCCAAAACATCTGTCTGACAATAGGAAAACTGAAATCTGCAACATGAGAAAAATAAAATGGAGCATTTTAGTATACATTCAGATAACAAGAATTCTACCCACTACTGCATTTTGTAAGTGTATTATGTCATCACTCCTATGCTACAGAGCGTAAGCAATTGTATATTTGGAAAGCAGGATATGTCTTAACTTTGAAGCACCTTTGAAATTGTATGTGTGATCATGAGATGCTTCCTTGCATGAGGCTATGAGTAGGAACAACTTCTTTATTGGACTGGAATACAGTTCAAACTTAGCAACAACTACACTGGGTGGAACGACTTTCGTTAAATATTCAAATGACATTACACTGAGCATTAAAATAAGAAGAAAAGTGAAAATCTGCCCTTTGTTCTCTTTGGCTCACATCTAAATTTAGACACTTGAAAAACGGAATTCTGAATTTATCTCAGAATATTATCAAAAGCTTTCCTATGGATAGAACTTTTTTACAGGTCTACATCAGAAAATTATAAAGAAACCCATATGGGTTTTAGTAAAAAAATCAGAAGTTGTTCAAAAAAAGTACTTTGGGATATCAATTATTAGTATACTAACTATAGATATATTGACAGAGCACGTCTTTTCAAATATAATTTTGAAACATTTAAATATGAATAGCCTTTTTGAAGAAAGGCACTATGTGAAAGTATAAAATACTTACATTGCTCATGCAGCATAAATCAACAAACTGTCTGATCTTATCTTCGATAAATCTTTCATGAATGACAGAAAAATATATCACCTGTGAAAAATCAGATTTACTAATAAGTTAAAAAATATTGTTTTTCTATTTTAGCCAATAAGATACACTGATTAAGACGTCAGACCAGGCTGGGGCAATACACACTTGTTTCACCTCCAGAAGGAAAGGCAAAATATAAATATAAATCTAACAACAATTAAATAGGTACTACCATGTGACTGGTTTGCAAAACTGAAGAGATTTTCAACTTTGCCAATTCCATACTTAACAACCAACCTCTCATAATGACTTTCTCTTTCTACAACTAAGGAGGATTTGCACCTATGTACCAGAATCTGCTTTTCTTAATATTTTGTGATCATCCCTAAGTATGCATGAATTAAGAGCCACCTCTTGGAAAACTCATTAATAATTATTATATGTAACTTATTTGATTTTATTGGAAATAAAACATATTTACTGGTATTGAAATTAATTCCATAAAATGGAAATACAGTAGAAAAATACTAATATGTATTAAGCTGAAGTCTATGCAACTCAGTCTGACTATCATATTTAGTCTACAAGAAGGAACATCACTGATAAGGCGGCCCTTTGTCCTTCAGTGATGTTCCTTCCTGTAGACTAAATATTAAGAAAAGCAGATTCTGGTACACAGGTGCAAATCCTCCTTACTTGTGGAAAGAGAGAAAAAGTCACTATTCTCACATTATGAGAGAGGTCAATGTAATTATAACAATTTGGTATATTATTGTTTGAGAGATATTTCCTATTTTGTATCTGAAAGTAATAAATGTCCATAAAGCCACTCCTGAAGAAAAACTTGAGAAACTAGGTTTTATCAATTTATTGTAGGTATCTACATTATGCTGATGACTCGTACACAATAAAATCATTTAATGAATGGGAATCATCTTATGGGAAGGTAGTCACAATAAAATGATTTTATAAAGTTTTACCTGAATTACAGCAATCAATAGCCAAAGTACAGTGGATATACCATATCTCAAAATGCGGCTCCAGGGTGCTATGTAACTTTCAGGGTTTCGAGTTAGACCAGAAGATGAATCCATTAAGGCTAAATTTGAAAATCCTACAACCTGTAAAGTTAACAAACAAATTACAGTCATACCTCGGTATTCAACTGCTTCAAAACTCATCAAATTGGGTACTCAATGTGTTTTGAAGCAAAAATCTTGTCTGGGCACTTGATCTCTCTGTACTGGATACGCAAAGTAGAACTTGCTGGCATCAACTGCCTTGTGACTCACTACTGTCCAAAATAAAGGGTCATGTCGTAAGTCACATGATTTGCTCGGTACCCGTTTTAATATTTGTTGTGCCCCTTGGAATGAACCCCAGATGGGTACCCACGTACCACTGTATGGATAAATTTTAAAAATATCTATTTACATTAGCAAAGATTTTCTAACGAATGAAGGTGACTATACATGTCCCAGAATAATGCTGCAAGATCCAATCTGGGTCTGTCACTGGGACTAGAGTTTTAGTCTTCTGAGGTTTCAAACTTATGCTGGAGCCCATCTTCAGGGAACTTCTCTATAGCAGAGTGTGTGCTGTTCTGTGTGTGGTATTTATACAGTGTCTGTTGTATGTAGCTTTTTAGATGCTGATTAGGGTGTGTTGATGGCAGGCTTTTAAGTTTTCGGCTGTCCTTTACTTGTGCTGCCCAGCCCTCACCTTCTAAGTACTTGATATGCTGGTGCTAAATCAGCACTCCTGTTGATGGAGGAGACGCCTGTTTCCCAGGCTTCAGTCACTTCCCTGGCTGTTTTTGTGCCTGCTCGTCCAACAAGCTTAGTAGCTGCAAAGTTGAATGTGTGTCCTTGTTCAATGCAGTGTGAGGCTACGAATGAGTTTGGGTCTCCTCATCTGACTGCTCGCTTGTGTTCTTGTAATCCGGTGTTTAGCTTCTTCCCTCTCTGTCCTACATAGTCATAATCCATGCAAGGGATTCAGTAGATTACATGGGAAGTATCTCCCACCTCTAAGCGATCTTTACAATGCATAATTTGTCATTGTATGGTAGCCTCTGGGCAGTGTGTGATACTCACTTGTTCATCTTGTGATTGTCTGACAAGGTGTCTGCACAACACAGTGGAAAGAGATAGGAAACAAGATACAAGACCAACCACATGGCACACCCTGCCATACATCAAAAACATTTCGGAAGCTGTAGAACGCAGCTTCTGAGATCTACAAGTGGGCATCACACACCACATACAACAGGCATCCTATAAAAACCACACACAGAACAGCACATTCTCTGCTAGAGAGAGGTTTCCTGAGTATGGGCTCCAGCACAAGTCTGAAAACTTAGAAGACAAAATCTCTGGTCCTGGTGATGGACCCAGATTGGATCCTGCAAGATTTTCTAAGTTGCCTAGATGATCACTTTCAATTTCTGAATATACTTCAGCGAGCACAAAACAGCAAGTAATAGTTTGTCAATATCATTTTTTTCATTTAAATAATATTAGCCCTTGAGGTGAGTGTGGAGAACCTCTTTCTCCAGCTGTTACTAAATTATTATTCCCAGTCAGAATGGCCTACAGGAAGAGATGCTGGAGCTAATTCATCACAGCTCTAGTTACAGGAAGGCTTGCAATAATAATGTAAATGGTACTTGATTAAAGTAGTACAATCAGAAAGTAATACTTATCAGTTGAAAAACTTATTCTGGAGCTTTGTAAACATTAGTTACAATTCCTATCCAAAGACAGCTAAATATATGTTGATACCTAGCAAAAATTAAAACCAAAGTCAAATAATATTAGACTTGGAATTTCATAATTCACATGAATAATGCTGCATTCTGCAGCTCTTTGCTTCACTTTCTGCTTTATATATTTGATTTGGCAGCCAAAATGTAAACTTGCAAAAGGAAATGGCAGCTTGAATATAAATTGAAACTCTAGTCCTAGAGCTTATGATGAAATAATGTACTGACCTTTCTGTTATCATAGTTATATGCATAAAACAAATTTGTTCTTATCTATGTCTCATATATGAAGTATGCATCAGCTAACTTTTATTCTGCTAGAAAATATATTTTCTTTTCATTGTATCTTGAACAGATTCAAGACCAGGAACACACAGATAATGAATGAAAATAATATAAACTTAAAAGCATATAGTTCTGCCAGACACTGGATTACCTGATTTGACCTCCCTTGCCTGATTTATTCAATATTGACTTTGGCCAAACCATGAATAAAATTACACTAAAAAGGATGTCCTTCCAGTCTTTCAAATATCCTCTCAGCCTTTGAATAGCTGTTGATTTTAGTAAGATAATGGAAGTAACAGAATGGAATTTGCATGTCTGACAAATAAGTCCATCTATTCTTTTGCTATATTGTCAAGACTTTTTATTTATCCCCAGAGAAAAAACCATTAACCTGTCTGTCTTAGGAACTGAGGTAAGTAATAAATCAATCATATTTCAACCCAAACAGTATCTGCTCCTTTTCAGTGGGAAATAGTTCTTGGCTGTAGCCTGACTTCCTTTATTATATTTTATTGTATTGTGGCCATTTAGTACATGGCTATAAAAATATAGAAGAAGTTGATACAGTTTTGGTTTGCTGAATGTTATTGCATGAGACCTGTTTCAATAATAAAAGGAATTGTCAGAAAGCTATCATCCATGTTGGACAGAGTTAGACAGCAATTGAAAACAAAAGTTCAATCTTAGCAAAAACATCAAAGAAGGTTTTCCATTGTTAAGACTCAACCAAGATGCACCCAAATTTGTATGTCAGCTCCTGAAAACACACCCTGCTCCTGATGAATTCTCCCAATGATTCCTGAATTATGATTAATAGTAAAACTATAAATGTGGCCTGAATGGGTATATACAAATAGACACTGCTAATAATTTTTATGTTGAATGTAAAAGAAAAAAAACTAAATCTTAAGTGCCTGAATAACTGGCAATTCCAGTGCTCACATTCCTCATGTTGGACTGATCATTCAACATTGCTCTTTGTTTAGAATAATCATTGAAAATATGCAGTTAATCTATTGGCAATCAAACTTAAAAAAAAGCTGCTTATCAACAATCATTACACTAACAAGTAGGAAACAAAAGGAAAAAAGATTCTCTTCTTTTGTATGATACCTTAGGTGCCCTGGTGGCGCAATGGTTAAATTCAGTATTGCAGACAAACTCTGACCACAGCCTGCAGTTTTATCCTGACAAGGCTCAAGGTTGACTCAGCCTACTATCCTTTTGAGACTGGTAAATGAGGACTCAGATTGTTGGAGGCAATACGTTGACATTATAAACCACCAGAGAGTACTGTAAAGCACTATAAGCGCTATTGCTATTTCTCAAATTATGAAATGAGATGGTCATTTTGATTTCTTTAAATTTTTCAGAAAGGTATAAAAATGGCCCTCAAACATCAAGCAAGGAAGAACATAAGCATGGGGATTCCTACTCTGGTAAGAAACTTGTCTGTACTTCTCGTTGTCCACTTCTCTTTATCCCAAAAGAGCTACACCATCTTCCAGTGCACCAAGCAGACAAAAGCAAACAATTTGCATAAGAAGGACACACCCTTTCTTCTTCCTGAACCAGAAATCCTTTTTCTTCTTACAAATAAAGTTATCTTTATCCTATTTTCCTGAACTGTTATATCTGCAGATCTCTTGATTTCTTTGCTGTAACAAGACACCTTTGTTTTCATTTTTGCTGTATGCCCTTCCAGTCTATGTACCCATTAATATGAACTTCTTAAAATCGGGTTTTCTGCTTACTTTTTTTTGACTTCACCCTTTTCTTTCTCTCATAAAACTGAGAATTACATTCCCAATAGACTGTTAGTGACTATTTGATTGTTTTGTATGCAACTAGCTTCATATATGCTTAATTATACTGCTTTGATTATTATGTATAATTTCATAGCTGGATGTCCAGATTGCATGTCAGTTTAAAGATGTTCAAAACTGGTGCTTTAGGAGGCCCAGTTTGTGACAATTATTGTAATATAAATGTGATTTTTTTTCATTACCCTATTTTCATGACCCAATTACATCTTGGAACATTGAAAAAAATTTTAAATGTCACCTCTAAAAAGAAGAGAACAGCAAGCACTTGGAAGAGAGGATTTATTTTTCTAATGGTCTGAATTTCATTCCACTCATTTGCTATGAAATATGTTCTCCATATGCTGACTGGTGCAGAAACACTTCTTATGCCATTTTCTCCTATAAAGAAGAAACATATGTTAAAAATTTTATTTGGCCTCAATGACACAAGCACCACTAGTTATTAGATAATATAATTAGATTATATAAAATTAATATAAAACATATCATAGATGTTTAACTAAATTAAATAACCTCACACATTTTTGTTCCTCCCCCCCAGGTCTATTTTATATAATCCAGGATATAAATGTTAAAGATTTGGGTATGCATTTATTACTTATCCAAAAACCATATGAACAGCACCACAACATGACAAGAATGTGTACAGTTACTTCATATATAATATGAGAATGAAGATATAGATGTGGTTACCTATGGCTGTAAAAGTAAAACTCTTCTATACAGTATATAAGTATAGAATGCTTAGGATGTGATTTGCATCATTTCTGAAATCAGCAAGTTAATCAACCACCAGAAAAACATTTTATACCTTCTACTGCCTTAAGAACCTTCCCTTTTGGACGCTCCCAGTCGATGAAAAAGATATCTACTGAAAGTTGGGAAACAAGCAGATGCAAAAAGTGCAGCGCCTAAAAATCATTAGATGAAATAAAAAAAATACAAGTTAAAATTATTGTCTTGGAAAAGAAGACAATTCTAGAAAAGCAACCATAATTACATGGAGAATTACATGGAGAAAGACATTTACATTGCCACCTATCAAATAATAATAAGAAAAGTCCTGCCTAATATCTCTGCCCCCTATTGCCATCAACAGGAGCTGTATATTCTACATGATGGATGACTTGGAAATTCCCTATGCAATTCCAATCAGATCACAGAATTACAGAATGCACGAATTAGAAGGGAGTTTGTAGGTCATCTTTTTTCCCAAGCCTTCCAATAAATCATCCCTGATTGGCAAGTGATGCAGCTCCATTTGAAAGCTTCCAACAAGCAGATTGTTTCATTTAGCAGCTTTTTCCAGTAGGAAATCCCCAGTAATAGCACAATCCCTAGTGTATTTATTGAAGTGTCAGTTTTACTGAATTTAATTTCTGTAATTCTAAAGAACACAATTTTTAAATTCTTGTTAAAGGGTATCTGTTTTTTCCTACCTCAAATCCAGTGCTGAATTATATACAGAATCTTTATGCTTCACTAATGTACACATATGTACTATACTTTCAAATACTTATAGATTGATTAAAAAAACCCAAGAGTTTTCAAATAGAAAAAGCATATGCTTCTGTTTTTAAGGATATGGGGAGAAAGACATGTTACTTTTCAGTTACAACTGTGCTAAAATTCAGGCTTATCCTAAGGTTTTCAATGTGCACGTATCACATCTGACTCAGTGCAAGCCTAAAAGTAATCTCAGGTCCCCACTGAAAATTAGGAAATAAACATGAGTGAGTTTTCAACTAGACTTTAAAAATATATTTAGCAAGAATTGTTTCATCAGCTATCAGATTCTTTCCTTGAATTTTAACTTAGTGAACACTAATAAGAAAGTAGTATTCCAAAAAAGAAGTTAGCATTAAAGCTTTTCTCCCTTCAGACAATAATGAATGCAAACTGTTTCCAAACTGACACTGATAAATTGTAGCAGTTATATTTTTGGAAATCAAAAGGGCATATATTTACCTTCAGAACAAAAGCACATCCAACATAAGAAATGAACTTATCTTCTTGACTTGGCTGAGGTAGTAAAACAGAGACAAACTGCTGTGCCTGAAGAGCAACAAACTCTTATTATACCAAACAGAATATAACACAATTATGCTTGTTTAATCATACTAGCTTGGATATTACTTACAGAATAGCAGCAGTTTTGCAAAAGTTAATGAACTTGAAAGCAAAATAGAATAAGTACTAACTATTAGATCTATTATTTTTTCAAGTGCACTTAGAGGGGAGAAACTAATGAAAAAGCATCAGAGCAAACAAAAAGATCATTTAACATGCAGAACTTGCCTGAATGGTCTGATCAGAAAAGGCAAAAGAGAAAGTAAAACATATTAAGTATTCAAATGTCTTATAATTATACAGAACGATTTATTCATTTACAAAAAAGGGAAAAAACTTACTTTAAAAAATA